GTTTCCGCTCCAGCTCCCTGAGCCTGCGCCCCGCCTTCTTCAACCTCTTTCTCTCCTGCTGCTAGATCTACCAAAGGGGAGGAGGACTCCAATCCCCCTCACGCCCTCCTTGCGCAGCAGAAGATCCGCGCGCCTTGCGCTCGTCGCGGCCCTCACGGCCACCCTGCTGACCGCTCATGGAGATTTTTGCCTTCTCACGGAGGGCCTTTTCACGCCACAGCTCGGCCTCTTGCTCTCCTGCCGCCACCATCAGACGCTTCTCCGCTCTCCGGTCCCCCATCACCGCCGCCGCAAAGGAAATGGAGAGAGGAGGAGGGAGGATGTGAATAGATCTCGCAGTGTGTGAGAGGCGCCGCACCTCACTGATCGATGCGGGAAACCCTAATGATGGGTCGGGGCACCCCTTGCGCAGCCATATATAGCCGCGGCGCATCCTGGGCTCACGGCCTGCCCCAGGCCCACTAGCGTAGTAAAGAAAAATATAAAAGCATTTAGATTACTATTCTTGTTACAAGCCAACTATGTCTCCCTATTAAGAGAAGTACTCCCTCCGTAAATAAATATAAAAGCGTTTAGATTACTACTCTTACAAAGGAAGTAATAAGGAACCCCTAGCTAGAATGTAAGCACCTTCATTCGACCTTCTACTCTCATGACTGAAGCTAATATCATCGGAACTCGAACCCACGCTTTGATCTAATGGGTAATTGATGCACATGACAGCCCCAGATTATTGTTGATTGTCCTGAGTACTAGAATTGCATTATGGATCCCCAAGTCCCGCCGCATCGAGAGCCAGTCCTTCTATACATGTCAATGCTTCCAAAGTCTCCAATTCAAAACTAACAGCAGAAGTAATTGATCCTTGGTCAATGTTTTTGCTAATACATGTGTCCACGTTGATTTTAATCCTGCCTGGGGGTGGGGTGGGTTCAACATGAGGCGATCCTTTTTCTCCTCCACCAAGTCCAGGGCAGCAACGGTTAGTTGCACTAGTCCATTGGACACTGCCTTGCCCCCTTTCTCTTCCAATTGTGAGCCTTTGCTAATCGAGTCGAAACGTTGCATAATTATCAAACTGCCTAATCGGTACAACCTACAACAAAACCACTGATTAAGAGGTCACCCCACCTTCTCAGACGCTGACAAATGGTGCACTACATGTGTGCCACTTGTCGCAACCTGTGTGTTTTTCTTTTTTCATAGATTCATCTATTGAAAACGTTTTTATCTCTTGAAACGTGCACCCAAATTATGAACTATTTATAATCCATATTACCCCGTGTACACTATTTTCTTCCACAATCAAGTGCATACACTATTTTCTTCTACAATCAAGTGCATACTTACTTATTTTCCCATTGCAACACACGGGTATGTTTGATAGTTTTGGCTAAATTAGGAAGTGTAATTTTGGGCAGGCCATGAGCAAATGATCTTGGGAGAAAAGAACGTTCTTGTCAAGGTTTTCTCATGGGCGAACGATCCAAGATCCTCATGAAGTCACGGGCGAACCATCCAGGCTGGAACGTTTGGAAGTAGAGAGGGCTTCAAATATCTTATCTGGTCCGGTTTGGGACATACCAAACACCCTTTGGGTACAAAGCATACCAGAACTCTAGGCCCAGTGATATCTCTTTTTCTTTTCCTTCTATACAAATAAAGTAATCTTTCAGAAAAAAAGAGGGAAGTCAAGGCGACTTCATCTAGATCCTCGGCACCGCCGCCACTTTCGCAATCTCTGATCACCATCGGAGGCCTGTTCTTTTTTTTCTCTATGATTGATGTGCTTTTCTTCCACACCATCAAATTAGCACTGGGCGGCGCGATCAAGGTGATTGTTCCTCCTCTGCCGATAATCTTCCCTCCATGACAAGTAATATGGTGTTTATGTGCACCCCACTGCAGGAGGCTCAAGGCACACATGTGTTTGATATCTTGGGTTACGGCAAGCACAACGACATGGGTTGAACAATGACAGCTACATACGGTCCTGGATTTTCATGTTCGGCGACCACAACTGGGCCATACGCTTCTTCCTTGATGGGTTCAAAAGAGAAGGCTAAGATTATATCGCAGTTTATCTCGAGCTTTTGTGCAACACCGAACTCCTGGCATCTTGCGACATGAGGTTGGTAGACCAGTGCACTAAAATCTCGTACTCAATGCATAAAATAGGACTTTGTATTTTCTAAAATAAATATTATTTATACTAAATTTTTATATGTCCATATAGTTTATTATCAACCTATGATCTTACTAGTATATTTTTTCCATTCTTAGTTGGCATACTTATCCACGTAACAATATTACTAAATATTAGGATACAATTATCTATATATGATATCATCTTATGTGTTATTATTAACAAAAAAATGAAAAGATACCTGTGCTAAAACTATATTTTATAGCAAACCTTATGTAAGGTTTTTCTTTTTGAGATCTCCTAACTTAACAAAAATGTATTTAGACCAAACGAATCCCTATTAAATGTGAGTAAAATCAACATGAGCATGCATTTTGCGGATTAATTTCTGACACTTCCATGAATAATGATGTGTGTGTCTGTGTGTGTGTGTGTGTGTGTTTGTTTGTTTGTTTGTTTTGATACCCTTAAATATCTCGGCTATAATCTTCCAGGCATTATCTATCAAAATATCTTGATATACGTTTTCATGTATCATGTCTAGCAAAACTCAAATACAAAAAAAAAATGTCTTGACAATGCAATAGTATAAGTACTACACCAAAGTGTAGAAGTATGTTTCATTGCAACAAACTATCTGGACCGAAGAAAAATACGATAAAGTTAGGTAGCATGGATATCAAGAAGCATCGATTTGTTGTTATCTACACATAATTCAACCTAGTGGAAGCACAAAATTTTATAACTATAAACTAGCAAAAGAATGTTGCAAACATGTGTGTGCATTGATCATTTTCTGATCCAAACAAATTTCATCCATCGATGCAAACAAACTGGGATGCCAAAGCACATATCTGATGCTTAGCAAGCATGGCTATTGGATACATCATATTGAGTATAATCTGTGCACGGTGACCCATGATGATGGAACAATGGTTGATCCACGCAGTGTAATTCCTTTTATTCGGAGGAGGAACTTAGAAGAAGAGAAAAGGATCGAAGGTCACTACTGGTTCTCCGCCCGACGACAGGTACTCCTGTGTCCAGTTCAAACCTCAAGGGTCCAGGCACCTCGTGATGCAACAAACGTTGTGGAGATGGCGGGCACGGCAACCTAATGTCAGGATTGTGCACCACCGAGGTCAGGGCCGCATCGAGAAGTAGGTCGGTATAGAGGACCAGATCTGGGGGCATGGTGGATTGCATTGTTGGGGGTAGATTGTGTCTTCGGTGGTAAGGTGTGAAAGAAACATGGTGTGAAGTAAACAAGGTGCGAACAAGATGGATCTAGGCCGTGTAATCGGATAGGATGAGGGCGACTATGTTGACGGCGAGCTCCGTGCGAAGGAGGCATGGGAGAGGAAGAGGTTTGAGAGAGATAGAACGGGAGGGGATCACGGGCTAGCGTCAAATATGGGTGGATAGCACGGCTGGGCCTCAATCGTGGGATTAATTAGAAATGAAGGGATCACATGTGGTCTGATGATTTCCAACTAGACTACTGATAGGAAGTGTTTCCTATTATTATATGAGGTTTGTTCCAGTGCAACTCCTTCCCCCTTTAAAAAGTGTATGGGTATTTTAACATACTTAATAAATGATGATGATTTATCTTAGATTTTTAGTTCAGCTTGACTTAAAATTCAGAGTAGGCCACCTGTCATGAATAGCGGTAAGGTCGAAGCGTCAGAAGTCGTGTAGGGCACAAAACTAAAGGGTTAATACCCGTCGAACTATTGCTAAAGAATCTTTTAACATGATTGAAGCAACAGTCCTATCTATGCTCAATTGTCGAAACATTTTCCTTTTCTAATAAAATAGCATGTTCCTCTAGCGCTGGCATTAGAAACTACAGAAGACAGGGATAATGGTTCCTCACACAAATTAGAAATTAGTAAACACGGAATCGAAGATTAAGAACCATTCTCAATATTAAGAGAGGGGGCTAGAATCAGTTGATTTGTGTGAGCAACATTGGTGTTGGAAGAATCCGTGGTGGTTTGCCGCTGTTGTGCCGAAGGAGAAAGAGAAAACGAGAGATTAGGAAAGAGAAAGGGAGAGATAAATAGACTGGTTAAGCAAAAGGACTATACTACCCTTATGTTGAACCGATATGGAATACACTAAAACTTTTAGTGGGGTAGGGGTAGTAAAGCAAACCTACGGGACCCTTATGAATTTCTTAATACATCGCCAGGAGACACTTGAGGCAAAAGAACGAATTTCATAATTCACTCTTGTGCACAACAATTTCTTTTTTTTTGTCAACTCTCAGCTTCTTTCGCAACTGTTTCTTTAACAAGAGCAGTCTCGTAGCTAATCGCGTTTGTACCAAAGAGAGAATAAGCCCGTGGATCATGGGTGAAAGCGCGCGAGGGCGGGGGTCAACCTACTCATTATAGATGGGCTTTCTCTTCTGTGTCCATTCTTTCTTTTGCTGTAAAGATAAAAGGAGATTTTTTTTTGGAACTGCTTACGTCGAGGAACAACAAAGAGCAGTGCGGTATTGTTATGGTTGGTTGCATCTGATGTTGACACCTTCTCTCTAACATGTCTAGTTGTGGCTCTCAACAAAAAAAAGTTGTGATGCGCATGTGGTCGTTTCCCCCCGATTCGTCGACCTTCACGTGTCGGTGCAGCTGCGTTTTATTTTGTCATCAACAAGAATGAAAGAAAGTATCATGGTTTCCATTCCAAGCAGAAGCAGTTGTGTTTGGTCCATTCCATTTGCCACTGGCTTTGATATTTGGTGGATTCAGAAGATATCAAGACCAATCACCAAGTGCAAACGCTCCTCCTCCGGTGTGAGCCACACAGAGCGGGGAGGCCCTCGTGTCCGGCTCGTGGTCGCGGGATGCCGAGGCCCACGCAGCCCGGCCCACCGAGCCGTGGCCACCCACTACTATATGCTCGGATACGGCCGCCTCACCCGCCGGCGCAGCAAGCAGCAGCAATGGCGCGCCTGCTCCTCCCCCAATGCTGCTGCGGCCTCACGCCCCTGCCCCTCCCGCGCCGCGCCGTCGCGCTCCATCCCCCGCCGTCCCTCCTCCCCTCCTCCGGCGTCGCCGCGTCCCGCCGCGCGCTCTCCCTCCGCGTGGCCGTCGCTGCGCCCGCCCGCCTCGTCACGGCCGAGGACGACGGCTCCGGCTCCTCCTCCCGGGCCCAGGGTGGTGACGAGGGGCCCTCCGCTGACGGGTTCGACCCCGGGGCGCCGCCGCCGTTCGGGCTGGCGGACATCCGGGCCGCCATCCCCAAGCACTGCTGGGTCAAGGACCCCTGGCGCTCCATGGGGTACGTGGTGCGCGACGTCGTCGTCGTGCTCGCGCTCGCCGCCGCCGCCGCCCGCCTCGACAGCTGGCTCGCCTGGCCCGTCTACTGGGCCGCCCAGGGCACCATGTTCTGGGCGCTCTTCGTCCTCGGGCACGACTGGTGCGTCGCTTCTCCGTCCTTGAAAATTAAAAATTTCTGTTCAGAGGAGCTCACCGTCTCTCTGTCTCTCTTTTCATGGTGGTGTCTGCTGCTGCAGCGGCCATGGGAGCTTCTCCAACAACGCCAAGCTCAACAGCGTCGTCGGCCACATCCTCCACTCCTCCATCCTCGTGCCTTACAATGGCTGGTACGCGCGCATCAACACCTTCTTACACCTCGACCCCCTTCTTGTTTCTGATAATGTTGCAATAGCTTTGCTGTCAGTAAAAGCTTCTCTTTTCCAACTAAATCTGCAGGAGGATTAGCCACAGGACGCACCACCAGAACCACGGCCACGTCGAGAATGACGAGTCCTGGCATCCGGTACGTGGGTTACATTCCAAGTTGTTGCTGCTTACTTTGCTCATGTTCTTAAGGAATCTGATTAACCATGGTGTTATCGTGTTTTGAATCAATTGCTGCTACAAATTTCAGCTCCCCGAGAAGCTGTACAGGAGCCTGGACAGTTCCACCCGGAAGCTTCGATTCGCGCTACCGTTCCCGATGCTCGCGTACCCATTCTACTTGGTGAGACCAAACAAGCCCAAATGACCTTTGATCCTACTTAATTTTGCTGATTAAACTGCTCACAAAGTAACATATGTTTGGTAAAATTTGATTGCTGACTGTATTATTTGTGTTCAACCTGTGCAGTGGTCAAGGAGTCCAGGGAAATCAGGCTCACATTTCCACCCGAGCAGCGATTTGTTCCAGCCGAATGAGAAGAAGGACATTCTGACGTCGACGACATGCTGGCTTGCCATGGCTGGCCTGCTCGCTGGGCTCACTGTCGTGATGGGGCCTCTTCAGATACTCAAGCTCTATGCTGTACCCTACTGGGTATGTGTGTGTGGCCCTTGTTGCATTTGTAGCCTTAGGTCCTGCCAGAAGTTCTGATTCTTGTGGATAGGTGGATTGGGTTGTGCCCTGTTGTGGGGGTGGCCAGCAGCTTACCAAGTTTCCTTGCTGAATTTCCCTGCAGATTTTTGTTATGTGGCTGGACTTTGTCACCTACCTGCACCACCACGGCCACAACGACAAGCTTCCCTGGTATCGCGGAAAGGTAAAATTAACAGAGCAACCATGTCTGGAATTGCGAGTTACTCCCTCTGTAAACTAATATAAGACCTTTTAGATCACATAATCTGCGTAACATTGTGCCAAACTAATGCGTCGATTATCATTTCGACCGCTTAGTGTGTTGTTCAGCAGTATAGCCCGGCCCAGTATCTAAAAGCCCTGCTAACTACTCCCTCTTGTCCCAAAATATAAGACGTTTTTAACACTACACTAGTGTCAAAAATGTTCTTATATCATGGGACGGAGGGAGTAACGTACAGTGTAGCTGTGCTGATTGGGTCATTGGGATAGAGTGAAGTATAATTGCTAATTGAAATAACTCTTTAAGCTGTCAGAGTTGACCACAGGCCGTATCAGATAAAACTTGGGATTGAACAGTCTGAATAAACATTAAACTTGACCTCTTACTTGATAAATGAGTTTTGTTTGGCAAGCATAAAAGAGGTGCAGTTACCGTATCTTAGTTTAGTCAAAATAGCAAAGTTACAGAACTATGGAAGGATATCAGAAGCCACCTTTTCAGCCTTTCATCATGACAGCTGGAAGATAACGTAAGGCATATCGAGCCACATAAATCGCCAATTGTTGTCCATACGTTGGACTGCATTTTTCACTGTCCGTCTTCTGTATATGTATGTGATGTGTATATGTGTGGTAGTTATTGAAAGTAATTCACTTTTCTGTGGAAAAGGCATACTTTACCGCCTTCTATCACGGGCAACATCCAACCAGAAATTTAAAAACTTCAGATTCATGATTGTCATTGCTCGAACCATTCAAAAGATTACCACTGCTGTATGTCATCACTGAGATACTGTCTGTGTTGCTATGTGAACCAGGCATGGAGCTATCTGCGCGGGGGGCTGACGACGCTTGACAGGGACTACGGGTGGCTCAACAACATCCACCATGACATTGGGACTCACGTGATCCACCATCTTTTCCCGCAAATCCCGCATTACCATCTAGTGGAGGCGGTAAGAATGGAATCCTTTGATATTCCCTGCACATCGTTGTCTTAGCAGGAACCTTACTTTACCAATACATGGTCTTGGTTGTGCTTGTCTTGCAGACTGAGGCGGCGAAGCCAGTGCTGGGGAAGTACTACAGGGAGCCGGACAAGTCTGGCCCGTTCCCATTCCACCTGTTTGGCGCACTGGCACGGAGCATGAAGAGCGACCACTACGTCAGCGACACCGGAGACATAATCTACTACCAAACTGACCCAAAACTTGCCGCTGGTGCACACACATCCGATTAACAACATCAAGCATACTCTTTGAGCGGATGCTGCTCACCATCACCTGACCGAGTAGCCCTCTGCTGCCTCACCTTGCCAAGTTCCTCAGCATCCGGCAAATCAAGCAGGTGGATGGCGTGGATGCTAGCCCGGCATATTGGATTTTTGGTTGTACAATAGGCTTGAAGCCACGATAGAATAGATTATGTGCTTGTAAGAAACAAGTGATTCTTTGGACCAGAGCCACGGTAGCTCTAAAAAGATTGGAAAAACTTGCCTGATCAAGGGGCATTCATTGTTCGATACTACAATTATAGAGCAGTATTTATGTCAGCTGGTCCATATGCATATACTACTGCTGTGAAGATCTCAGCTTAACTCCAGATCATCTTTGCACTAACATGTGAAATAGTATTTACGTGTGTTGTCGTTGTCGTGAATTTTGTTGCATCTGTCCTAGTGGTTGGTCAGTTGTCCTCTTCAGAACGCAGGGTTGGCTCATTGCTGACCACAGGCTAGCTGTGGCTGTCTGCCTGCAGATGGGGTCATATGGGTTCTGTGATCCTTGAGCTTAGTTCTTGACTTTCTGTGGTCCTCCTTTTCTTCTTCTTAGAATGATCATCAGATTTCTGTTGAAAACTCACCATGCTACCATTGAAATTCTAGCTGAGCTCTGTGTTACCACTGAAGCCGAATTATTGTCGGAAACTCCAGATCTTGTAATGCTGGAGGTGGTGTCATGCCGAATAAAAGTCTCACGCTGTTTTTCTGGTCTTGTCCGTTGCAGATTTTGCGGGTTGTCATCGAGTGCTTAGGCTTTCTTTGGTGGTGCCGAGTTTGGTTTGGTTGTATGGAATCCTTCTATACTGCTCAATATCATGCATTAAGCAAGCAAAATGAAGATGAAAATCAATGACATTAGTTTTTGCACAATGTCCTGCAAATTAAGCAATCTAACTCGCACTTCCCAAGACCAACAAGACCAACAGGTCGGATGGCTCATACATCTTTAAAAAAAATGTTGATGTTGGTTTCTTCAACGGATGTTTGGACAAGCAACAAGTGCAGAAGTTGGGCCTAGAGGCAAGGCCTACAAATGATGTAATCTCGGATTTTATCAACGACCTTTGTTATCCTTGTGTGTGTTAGTTTCTTAACTCCAATATACTTCACTTAATAATAAATAAACAAAACCAGACCATTTTTGAATGAAAAATACACTGAATACAACCTTTTGTACTATTAATCCTTGTATGATAATGTGATCTTCCTACCAACTAACAAGTAGGGCTGGAATTCCAGAACTAGAAGACATAGAAAAACCATGCACATGTGTTATAAGATCACATATCGCAAACAATAACACCACAAACGAGAAGAAAATATTAACAACACTACACATTTATATAAGGTAAATGAGCTAATCCGACCAACTGATCCGGGTTTTGATTCGGCGGGGCACACGAGACCTCGAGCATCGCAATCTCCTTCACATCACAACTGCATTTCTCTCTTGCGCATCGAGAGTCGGGACTCGACACCATCCATGTGACACCCCACGTCAGCCCTGACATGTGGGACCGCCTTGGCAGATAGGCTACAAAATTAAAAAAAGGCAAAACATGTCCCAGGTCTGACAGAAGAGTCTTAGTTAAGCAAGGTAATCCTTGTAAAATTGCAAAAACAAAAATGGGGGTAAAAATAGAATTAACTCATAAACAAGTTTAAACATACTCTCATGTGGATGTAGTCAATTAGAATATATTTTTCTATTTCATATGTAAATTTGAAGGGTATATGAAGAATTTTATCAAGCATGTTGGTGTGTGGGTTGGTCGGGGGCTGGGGATCCCCCTTGCTCCTTCACCACATTGGCCTAAATCAAATCAAGTCACAGAGAGGTCGAACCTGGCCTTATTTACTACCTGGTAATTTACTATCACGTTTGAGGACATGGGATGGGAGCGGGGAGAGTGCACCCGATATTCTTCCGAACCGAGCGTCATCAGAAGAACAGGTACACCGCCGCGTTGATAAATCGTATGCGAGGCATACGAACCCGATATTCATTGCTCCGTAGGATTCACAACTAACGTTTATTATCCTATGGTAATCAGACATGTCGAATGCCATGACTATGGGAGGTGGGTGATGACTATGTTGCAACCCGCGAGGGACAGCGGTGGGGTGATACCGACTGGTTTCCTCTCTCTCACACAGCCATGAGTGTAGTATTTTTTTTATCACCAAGCGAGTTAAAGGGGTGGGGGTTATCATTGTATTCACCACTTGAGCTCCATGG